GCAAATTTCGTTAGCTGAGGTAAAACCGACTGAAATCCTTGCATTTTTGCAAATATGTCCCCTTAATTCGACGTACTATTTATAACTCTACCACATCGATATTCGATTTGATCCTGATAGACATTTTTCTCGAGAATTTTACAATCCTTATTATACCCCTCAGCAGAGCATGCGGTGTAGTGGTTAGAAATGCCGTGCGCCGCACACGTGGTCAACTGTACGATCCCGCGATCATGGCTCACTAGGCTTTCCATCTCCGAAGTCGGTAAGCTGGTACAGGACTTGACTGGGAGGCTAGTAGCACTGACCCGATGTATCGGTAGACCACCGCAACCCACTACAAAGGCCAGAGATATGCATTCAATGACCACAAGCGATGTGAGGTCAAAAGTACGGCGCATCACTCAGAGATTCATAGATGCCGAATGCCTCATTTTAATTTACTAATGCGCCTCTTATTAGCCCTTTCAAGACCAGAGACCGATCCCTCTCCGTCTCTAACCCTAACTGCTGCCTCTAACAGTAACGTCCAAACCCAGTTTACCATTGTTAGACACAGTACTTTCCACTGTTAGGCGCAACACGTTGGGGGTTAGAGACGCACAGGGCTGGGTCCATGGTTCCGAAAGAGTTGACTGGTCCCCTACAAAACTCTAAGCTGAAAATTGTCGAATTCTGCAAAAGCAATAGAGCATGTGTTAGTTGATGAACTAACGGTTGAGCACGCAAAGAATGCCGTATTAGCATTAAGCCTTTGGAGACGGGGCCTTTTTTCGCTTTTCCTTTGGACTAATGAAAGTCATTGAAAACTTGCACATCGGATACTACAGTTAAGTTTTCGAAAACGTTTTTCTCAAGCATTTTAGCAAAAAAATAGAATTACCTTCATCATTTGGCGCGCAGTTGTCCTCAGCAAGGGTTCGTTTATGAATTTTCAAAAGGTTTAGCCTCAAAATAACTGACATTTCTGCCTCTAACGACTATCATTGGTCTAGCAAGGAACCTACCACAGATCTATTCGAGCAAAAAATGAGCGCCGAGGGTGAAACGTAATATTCTTTTCGCTGCCGCAGCGCAATAAAAAGGCGCTCTCGAAAACCAAGCACACTATTCAAATTGTCGTATTTCAAATTATTAACCAAGTAACAGAAGTCGCACGGAAAAGCTCTGTGCGGCGAAAAATGCAAGGAAGCACGCGCGCTGTCCCTGAAAGGTTAACCACATCTCCTGAATTGCATTTATAAAACATATTTTCAAATCGACATCAATATTTCTGAGTACTAGGCGACATCTAAACCGAAAACTATCAAGCGTAACAGCTTCCAATTTCAGTAAATTTGAACTTGACCCTGAGAAAAACCAAATATCTAGAAAACAGAAGCGTTTACAATAGCACATCAGTTTCCCTTTGCAGGAATTTAGCGTTATTAACAACTAATGATTGGTAAACACTATGTTTCAAATACCAACATCTACTGAGTAAACAACGCTTACGCTAGGCAAATCCAACACTATCTATCTGATTGTTTACTTTTCACTTCAAAGGAAAGGGATAAGAGAGGAGAGAGGGGAAGGGAGTGAGGGAGAAGGAGGAGGAGAGGGAAGGCTAGCGATGTTCGTCGTCGGGAAGCAGCTTGTTCTACCTAATCCAAAAAACTCTTTTGGAGGCACCTGGAACGCTCTAGCCTGGCGATTTCCAAAATTGCATGGATATCCGGCGAACCAGCATACTAAAACATTCACAACTAAGATGAAACCATCAGCAGCAGAAACAACGATTCGCGATAACGAGTTGCTTAAAGATGCACTCGGATGCGCGGAGTGAAAAGTGATAACGGGCCGTTCGCAATCAAAAAATTATTCCACTTCTAATTCCACCATAAAATGTACCATCAGCAATCTATTCAGAATTCGTGACAATGGCGATTGCCATAAGTTATCCTTCTTCACTACGACATCTAAAAGAAAAGTAGTCGTTCCCTTAGCATTATACTTTATACAACATATAGTCATGAGCCTATTTTCAAAAAAAAAAAACTTGTTACGAAAAATTGACATAAGGAAATTACTCACTTTTTGCTCAATTTTCTGCTCGTTGTGTTTCTTCTTATCTGCATAGAAACCTTCCATCAATTCATAATAGAATGAAACACGTGGTCCAGACACTCGTCCGACTTCCAACCTGTAAGACTAGATGATTAGATGGCGTTGAGCTCTAAAACAACCAGAACAAGAATCTACCTGTCGAAAGTTTTGTCAGCAACAACACAGTCAGCCAATTTGATCGGAAAAACTCTACATAATGGCATGAAGAACACGTAAGGCATAGTGGATAGGGGGTGCTCTGCCACACATATTTGATTGGACAATCGAACGATGGTCCAATCCCAAGTGCAGATTTCACCAAGCTTTCGATTCCTCCGGGGCAGGTGAATCAAAATCAGACTTGTCTAGCAGGACACCTTCATTGACTTGCTACATCGGAAGGCCCATTGCAATTTATTTTAGAGGCCATAGATTTGTATTCAATCACCTCCGATAGCGCTACAAATGGAATCGAATACATGGCGCACCCCTCAGGGACGAGAGGTTTATACTTTGAATGCATTCCCATCAAAATCTTATTCGTCTTGTGCTCCTCACAATGGCAAACAGGTATTCAGCAATCGAGTGCTGTTCAGGCACATCGCTAAACAAAAGAATAATCAGAAAACATTTGAACCTGAGATAATCTGGAGGTTCTTCGACGACCCTTTCGCCTTTGAGAACAACGTCAAATGTCTGCGACTGTAATAATCCGATGTCGAAGTAGCGAATTACGAAACCGATTAGCAATCCTAAAGATTTTTTCAAAGCTTATGCGCAACATAATGGAAGGATTGCTCAACGAATGCTTACCGTAGAACAGCGTAAGGCCTGTCTCATGTATAAACATAAATCTATAGTGTTTGAAAAGCCACGATGTAAGAACGATTACCACCAAAACAGAAATGTAGGTGAGCAAGATGATGGAGTCGATACGATGGATATTTTCAGCTCTCTGAAGGAAGAAAATAAACGCATTTGGGCAGTAGTCTGAGACAGTACGCACTGTGAAACTGAAAGCAAAAAATCCTATTTACATTCAATCAAAGAGCGCGCGTTGTTTAGTGGTTAGGCGTGCTCCTCGTCTCACACGTGGTCCATCAAACTATGGTTGACGGTTCGATCACGCGCTGAAAGCTCACCAAGTTTTCCATCCCTTCAGAATGAATCAGTTGGTACCAGACTTGTAAGCGAGAATAGCAGCATAACCCAGTGCGAGTGATTGTAAAGGCCAGATATGCATTCAGTCATCCCAAACTGCTCGATAAAGGTGAAAAAGATGAGTCCCTCAAAGTCTAATAATCTTCGAGAGCTTTAATCTCAGTAATTCCTTATTAGTTTCATCTTACACGTTCCGTGATTACAGTTAGCTGTGTGGGAAATCCCATCAATTCATGGATTTCATTCGTTTCTTCGAATTCTTCCTCTACAAAAGTCTTGGAATATCTCATATGCTGCTTGAGGATTTCGACTCCTTCATGAATGTCGTAGAATGCTGGCCGAGACGATCCACATTGAAATCTTGGCGATGGGTGAGCAAATGCGTTCTTTAATCCATTAAGGACTACAGCTGATGGCATGCAAGCAACATCTGCATGTCTGTGCATGCATGTCTGGTGGTCTGACTGCCTTCCCACGAAACACGACACCGCCACTACAGTGGCCGAGTGAGATTTGACGTCGCACAACTTGGTACAAGCATAACATATGAGCGTTAAAGCGTTAACACATTGAGGACCGCAGACCCACGACGCTAAAACCGACCTGTCATGCGCGCGGCGGCTCAACGGCGAGCAACCCGCAGTGACAACTGCATCGAGCCGCTGTCGATCGAGACGAAAGTTGCTAGTTCATTCCGCTAACACTGCGCTTCACTTGAATTTTGTTTTGGTGTTGTCCTTTTACTTCCAGTACAATATGCACAAATCACTGACGCACCATAACTCATAAAGTAACATCATAACACAAGCGATCAATTTATCAAATAGTTAATGTTACCCCGTAATCTACGTTTCGCATCAAAAAGTAGAGAAACGTTAGAGAAATGAGCGAATTTTGTTAAGGTAATTACGTTAAGAAAGAACCTCTAATACTAATCGACATCAGAAAATAACAAAAAAATGCAGTGAAGCGTCGTGTTAGGGGATCGAACCAGCAGTCTTCTTCCCGAAGGACGGCAGCACGAGTGACGGAACTAATGCCGTGGCTCTGCGGTCCTCGGTGTATTAATGCGTTCGCTGATGATTGCAAGAGTGGTGGAGTGATGGAGTCCAACCAGGAACTTCCTTTCTCATTGCCTGCGTCACTAACCAATTGATTAACACCTCCTACTAATGACATCTAGACAGCTTGAGTCATGTGAGAAGCGAAAGTCTATAATAAGTTCAAAAAAGAAGGGTTGAAAAGAGTCACTCACCCTCTGAGCAGCCATTTCAAGGTCGGACATTTCGTTGCTACGTGGAACAGTCAGATGTATGCATGGAATAATTAGAAGAATACATAAAATACGGAGCATCTCCGAGGGTCTACGACGACGACGAGGAGCGCGACGATCTAAATCTGAAATCCGAATGATTTGATGAAGTTCACATTTTTTTCTGACTGAAACATCGACCACTGGAAATAGAAAATGAAGACTCTGACGATGACGGTTGGCACAGGCATCGATGGCGATCAATCAGGCATAAAACGACAATTGGAAGATCGATAAGAATGATACAAATGTCCAATGCTATTGAGCTATATGAAAAAGCATTGAACCTTGAACGAAGACTGAACCCGCTTCCATTTTTTTCGGGGCGCGCGCTAACCACTGCACTACCCCGGTCATAGATGCCGTCCTCATGAAAGAACATCGAAACGAGCTATAAGGATCAGATAAATATCGAATACCGTTGAGTGATAACAAAAGTTCAAGCCCTCGGGCCGGAATTAAACTTGCGCCTTACCCTTTTCAGAGGCACGTGTTTAATACTGCACTACCACGGCCATTGTCCTACTTATTACTCGTTTTGCCTGGTGGCGATCACCAGATATGAAGAAACATGAGAATGAGCGATAACAGCGATACAAATATCCAATGATGTTAAGTGAAATAAAAAATATTCCAGCTCGGGGAGTTGAACTCGCATTACAACTCTCTCAGGGGGTCCGGTAACCACTGTACTATCAAAGCTGTTATTTTGCTTCCACTCTTTCTGCCTTAGAAGATGCCGATTTTAATCTTCTTAACTGATATAGATAAAATGAAGTAATTTCAATTATGAAAAACTTTCAACGCCAAATTTATCTTCCAGAAGAAATTAAGACTACATCATTTTGGGTTTCGTTCTGCTGCGGATTTTTTGCGATCAATTCGGTATACAACTTGGCTAAATTAGCTTCAAGATGTAGCTGTCCTCAGGACAAATTCGCTTGCTGCTCATGCACGAATGACACGCAGCGGAAAATGCTTGTGAAGCGGCGCGCAAGATTAACGGAGCTTAGGGCAATGATACGGTTGGAAAAAGGATGGCTTGGAAGTGGTTCGTAAAGTTTAGCTGCTCCAGAGAGCAGTCTCGAAGATCAGTCGAGCTCGAGCCGTCTATGGAGAGTTGATCATTCTCAGCTCCTTCAGTCTTACGCCTCGTTTCACTAACATGTTCCCCTACGCGCCATTCGAGCATAAGTAGCAAGCGAATTTGTTAACAAGTCAGCTTCATCTTGAGGCAAGTATAGGCAAGTTGTCTACTAAAATGTCCGCGATAAAATAGGCAATTGAACGATACCAACCATAAAGTTTTAACTAATTCTGGTTAGTAAATTTGGCGTATTTTGCTCCAGGCGAAGACCAAATATGTTCGTGAAAGAGACTTGTAAAGGAATAGCAAAGCAATCCTGATGTTATTTATGATAGCGCATAAAGAGCTGAGGCTACGAAACCCTTTGGTCAAAGAGGTGATAGACCAATCAAAGGAGAAAGACCGACGATCCTATAGGATCTATTGATCATTTACTTTGATTTACTCTAACTGATCCGTATCGCAATTTTTTTCACTGTGCGAATTTCAGCACTTTAGCATTCAATTCGTTTTTCCTTCACCTTCATAAACGTTGTAGAATACTGACTGAGCAAGTTTTCTAAGAAACTCGAGGCTACGCAGGCTGGGGCGTTCGTTACTGATTACCGGGGAGTATTGAGTGGGACAGACCGCTGTCTAGTTGCGACGATGATCAAAACCATTCGACCGACCACAGACTATTCTGGCTCATATGGAAAGGAAAAATAAAAGATCTGGAACTTTATAGAATTTTCCATCACAAAGCGATGGCATTCTTCATTCAAAGCGGCAAATCTATAAAGGCACCCTCGTCAAGGATCGAGATGGTGGGTACGAGGCCCAACTCCGAATAGAAATGAAAGAAAAAAGAAAGAGAAAAGGGAACGACGGAAAAAAAACTCGACAGAAGAACTCCCGGACGACCACGTGAACATACATCGGTCTCCGATGTTTACGCATTGATCACATCCTTAGCCGGAAATTTCTGGATAATGCGTGCCATTATGACAGTGTGTCTGCAATACAACTTGTACACTCTAATATACGAGCACATAATGGTGGCAGGCATCGCCGACTACTTCTCCATCACCATTACACCTATCAGGAAGCAGTTTCTTGAAAGTTTCTCGACACGTTCATATGCTTTTTGTGCCCAGCAGACTGTACGTGGGAGAAAAATAAGAGCACGCGGGAGGTGTGAAACATAGTTTTATTTTGAATTTTACAGCATTACAAAAGGGTGTCTAGAAAAACGAGCCACATAGGGATGTGGCCAGAGATTCCAGCTTTCTAATGATTACTGATACTCCCATGAAAAGTTCCTGTCAAACGAAAGCGATAGGTCTTTCATTTGTCGCCGTCTAACATATAAATACCGTAGGAACTAGCATTTCGAGTTTGACCTAAGTTAACTCTCAAGAAAGAATCCGACGGCATGAATCAATTTTATTCCTTTCGGAATCGTGGGCGCACCTTCACTCCATCTCTAAACCTCAGTTTAGGAACATCATTGTATTATGTCAATTGTATTATTGTTGTTATCTTTCTACGCAAAATAACGTAATATATTTGTATATGATAACAGCAAAATAATACGAAAAATTATACAACTGAAATAATACAATGATACATTCAATCGTTCTCACGCTTGAACTTGAAGATGCAGAGGAGGTTTAGTAGATCGCCCAGCGTTGCCACGTGGAAGATTAGAGATGCAGAGGGTGTGGGTCCACGGTCCCGAAAGGGTCACGTCACACCACATGCAGGAAAAAAATTGCGCCACGCCCCTAGCGACGCCTACAATGCATGGGGTGTAGGGCTCCAACTGTGGATAGGGAAATATAAGAAAAAATCCCCTTAATGCTGGAATGACAACGAGAATTTCTAGTTCAGATCAGTTTAACATCACTCACAGAGGAACATCTATTAGCCATCTACAGCCTACACTAATAGCTGGTTTATATAAGAACAATGCCCATGCCACTGTAAGCCTTTTATCCAATCCCAATGTAATTTTATGACTTTCATAAGCATCTGGGAAAAAAACAGGGAAGAATAAGGTTAGGTGTAATCTGAAATACCAGAGAATGTTAAGAGCTATGCAACACTTTGAACCTCACCGTCTGTTGATCCTAGGTTTCACCCTTTCTGGAGCAGCGTACTTCGATTCCAGAGGTGAGAGCGGAGCAGCAGCCTACGGTGGTGTAGCCACTAGCACGCAACTGCGATAAAGGTGAGACACGGCTTCAACTTACGGCCGAAGCTTAGAGTTTCACATATCACTAAATCCTTGGATATACTACGAAATCATAACGGTACGGGAATATCATATGCCCTTAATCCTAACATTTGTCGACTATGAAAAAGCCTTTGATAGCGTTGAAATGAACGCAGTCCTATCAGCGCTTGTCGATCAAGGAGTGGTACAGCATTTTCATCGACCTCTCACTATGCTCATTGGTAAAGGGGTTCGACAAAGCGATACGATATCGCCGAAGCTGTTCATCGCTGCATTGCAGTGGTTAATGAAGTCACTCGATTGGGACAAGTAGGGCATTCGTGTTGATGGGAAATTCCTGTCACATCTTCGTTTTGCAGACGACATCGTCATTTTTTCAGGAAGTACCAATGAAGCAGAAACGATGCTAAAGGAATTAAACGAAGCGGGAAAAGGAATCCGATTGCGTTTTAGTAGGATGAAGACCCAGTTCATGAAGAACTCATGGTTCAATGGTGATCAAGTCGAAATGGATGGTTCCCTGACTGCAGAAACCACCTCGAATGTGCACCTTGGGCGTTCACTGAACATGGAAAACAACATGAAGAAGGAACCAGATAGAAGGCGGAGAGCAGCATGGGCCGCATTCGGGCCTCTCAGAGAAGCCACCTACCAGCTAACGGATCCAAAACTCCGTGCTCACCTTCTCGATTTAACGGTCCTCCCGGCGCTCTGCTATGCAAGTGAGACGTGAGGTGATAGCTCGACCATGTCAAGAATGCTACGAACAACTCACACAGCGCTGAACGATGTCTTCTCAAATTCAGTCGGCGCACACAAGATCTGGCCGGCTTGCGTAGCTCAGATCTTCGGAGCCTATCCCATCTTCGTAACCCAGAGGTCTACAAATCTATAGCGAAACACGGATGGGCCGGTCATACACTGAGAAGAACGGACAACAGATGGACGAGAAGAACTATAGGGTGGATTTCACGACAATGTACGCGTCCTCGACGACGACCACCTTCACGTTGGGCGAACGTATTCGTTAAAAGAATTAAGATCAAGAAGAAGGCTCCCAACTTTTTTCAGATCACGGTATGACACTCGCAGCAGCCGCCATGCTCAAATTAGACCATCGTCATGGACGACTGGCGCAGCACAGAGACCAATGGAATATGTGCTGGGATCCGCACAATTAGTGAAGACGGACTGTTCAAGTATCAAGTATCAAGTATCATAACAGTACTACAAACTGCTGAAAGAGACAATTCTTGTCGTTCGTATGGGCACAGATCATTGCGATATTTTGTCTCGAGGAATTTCAATGCGAGGATTCTATTCCATTATTACTACAGCAAATATTCTATTATCACTACAACAACTAACCAGATAAGAAGGGAGACGGATTGAAATATATTACCTGAAATTTAACCAAAGTGGACCCAAAAAAGCCAACATTTCACCAGCAACATAAAAGCAACTCAAACATCATCATCGCTTTCAGTTACACCATCAGTTAAATACATCGTTTTCGACTGTTTGTTACCCATTCAGGGATCATGGGTACACGCCCTCCGCATCTCTAACTGACAACGCTGGACGGGCTGCTCCATCCCTTCTGCACCTCCAACCCACGGCGTGTGATTCACTGTCTGCCTCACACCTCTGCCATTCGGCACCCCGTCCACCGAGAAGAAGGTTGTTGGTTCGATCCCCTACCACGACGCCTCATTGTAGTGTTTTTGGGGTTATCTTTTGATGTCGATTAGTAATTAATGTTCTTCTATATCGTAATTATTACAGCAAAAACCATGAACGGGGTGCCGAGTGGCAGAGAGGAGAGAGACGGACAGTGATTCCCACGCCGAGGATTCGAAATGTAGGGGAGTTGTAGCAGACCGTCCAGCGCTGCCAATGAGAGATGCAGAGGCCACAGATCCATGGTTGCGAAAGCGTCAATCAGTCGCCTCCTAAAGTCTAAATACAATAAGCTCTCAGTCATTTTCTCCGTGTTGATTGCGCTTGTAACACGATGTACCTAATGAAACTAACATTTCAACGCGTTCCATCATCTTTACATCAGATGATTCGGGTCCATGGTCCACTCTCGTTTGTCCTCGTTGTGGCACTTCGTCTTCGTCTCGCTCGAGTCAAACTTTCCTCCTTGGAGCACCACTTGAAAGAAGGACATCACCCAAAGACTTTTTTTTTCTCTCGGGAAATAGATTATGTTAAATAGTTCATTCGAGCGGTACTCCATCGACGAAGGTTTGACTTGAGAGAGACGAAGGCTAAGTGCCGCAACGACGATGAACTACAGTAGAAGATCGACTCGAATCATCGCTCTGGAGAAGGCAAAACATGTCGAATAGCCGAACAATTTTATTCTCTTCAACTTCTGACTACAGGCAGAAGCCTTTCGGGACCATGGACACACGGCCGCTGCATATTTAATTGGCATCTGTGGACAGTGTGCTCCATCTCCTCCGCAACTCTAATCCCAGCTTGGTGTGTCCAACAATAGTAGGCTGCTTCGTCTAAGAGTGGCATGCCGGGGGTTGGAGATGAGGAGAAGGTGGAGCAGACCGTCCAGAGCTGGCGGCTAGAGATGCAGAGGCACTGAGTCCACGGTCTCGAAAGGGTTAATCAACAAAGTAAATATGATTGATCATGCCGAGGTCAAATGAAAGTCGATTTGCAATAATCGAAATACCTCTGCTACGACCGGAAAGGCACTAAACAGGTGGTTGGTTACTGAATATTGGAAATTAATATTCGACCGTATTGGGGGTTGTAGTCCCATCAATATTTTAAGCCTAAGCCTGAGCGTGATCTCGTATTTTCTCATTCAAAGAAGTCAATTCAAAAAGGACTTTGAAAACTGAAGGAACCAGAACTCTCTAAACGAGCCCAAAGGTCTATTAAAGTCAAAGTAACGAAGAGCTCTATGCAACAACGAAATACTATATGAAGATTTGTTCAGAGAACAGATCAACTGCACAGTTCCATGAAGAATATGATGTGAGATTGGTGACTATATCACCTATAAATCAGGTATGACTCATAATGCGGCGATCAAAGCAACAAGGCCCTAATGGACTCACGATCGGTATCAACCGCTATCCGAAAATTAGAGTTTTCATAAAATTCACTCAACACTTTCGCGGCCGCGGACCCACTTCCTCTGCATCCCTAACCCCATTAAATATATTACCACATTATTTCAATTGTATTTGTTCTTAGTTTCCTACTTATAACAACATTATTTATTTACATATAGCATGACATAGGAAAATTATAACGATAACACAATTGAAATAATACAATAATACATTCAATGTGGTCCCACGCTGGGAGTTAGAGATGAAGAGGAGGTGAGTCCACGGTCCCAAAACGGTTGACAAGTCATTAGCATGCTTTCATCAAAAGAAGTACAATATGACTGTAAAGGAACTACTCAAGAATATTTCTACCGAAAAAAACTTGGACGAAATAGTCCAGCCAACACCGATCTTCGTTTTTACAAGAAGTCTATCACTAATATACTCCTACGGCGAGAGCTGAACCCGCGTCCTACCCTTCCCAGTAAGGCTGCTAACCACTAAACTATCTTACAAGCTCGTCTAAGCTTATCGATAAATCAGATTCCTATCGAAAGCGCTTCAGATATCACCATAGCACAAAAATGTGTTTGAAGAAAGACGATTTCAGCAGCGATGCCATATATCCAATGATGCTGATTGATGTGTACAACTTTCGGCCCCCGACGAGAGTCGAATCCGCGCCTGACCCTTACCAGAGGCGTGCTACCATTACAACCCGAGGTTATCGCTCTGCCACCTCGCTATTCGATAATACGCATCGATCAGTAATCAGTCACTGACGTGCTTTGTCCGATGACTGGAAAATGAGGAAGCAAAGCGGTGGTCTCGCTGGTGTAGTGGTAGCACGCGAACAAGATTGAACGGAACCTTTGGGTTCAACTCCCGCCTGAGGTAGAAAGTTTTGCATGCCACTAAGCATCCATGCATATATAATTGTAACAATATAAGACAGCTATAAAAGCGAAAAAACTAATAATTCTTGTAGTAATACCATACAGTATTACTATAACCGTATTCCATCAACCCAAAGCAGAACTTCCGAAATATTTATAAATATTTGCACTCGAATAAATTTCACATGAAAAACTCCAAAAATTGCTCAAATTGTCAGATATATAAACAGCAAAAGAAAAAATATCGAGAACAAACTATAAACTAGAAGAAAAACTATAAATCTTGTGGGGCATCAACCTTGCATATCGCCGCTGATGGTAAACAGTATTAGCTCTTTCAGGATCGTAAACCCAGCGCCGTTGCATCTCTAGCCCCCAGTGTGGCGTGACGGTGGGGACTGAAGATGAAGAGAAGGTGGAGAAGACAAGCCATCCTTTCCACGCTGCGGGTTAGAGATGCAGATTGGTGGGTCTACAGCCTCGAAAAAGCTAATAAACTCCATCCATAAAACCTATAGGAACCATGACCACGACCTCTTACTTCGTCATCTCTCCCAGATAAAACCGGTATTATTGAATTCCTGCAAAAACCAGGTTACGAGAAGAAGTTTTCTATTCGAGTGACAGCATGCTGTGCAAGACTACATACTACCGCGATGATTTATATAAAAAATCCTTTGAAAAAAAGTCTCCGCAAGTGTGTGCGTTTATTTCACTAAATATATGATGGCAGACTGAGTTGTATGACATTTATCTCGACTATTTTCTGCAAACCTTAACAGAAACATTCTATATATATATATATATATACACGTATGTATAATGTACATATATGTATACATATACACACATATACATGTACATATACGTACATATATAAATGATTATATATACACATATATATACATTTTTATGGATAAATATATATGTATATATAGTCTGTAAGAAATTTTTCAAGCCTTTCCGAGGTTGCTACGTTAAATTTCGTTAATAGCTCACGGACCCTCGCGGCGGTATCGCTATCATCAAAGCTAAGGGTCGCCTTACCACTGAACTCGGGGGGCGACAAAATCATTACATAAAAATTCCTTTGTAAAACTTTATGTATTCAGCAGATAGCTCTCCGACCGAAGACATAGGCTACGAAACGCCCTAGTCAAAGAGCTGATGCCGACTGAAAGAGAAATATCCAAAATCCTATAGCATCTAATGATCCTAATTAATTCGCGTCACAATATTTTTCACTGTGCGTATTTCAGTACATTAGCATTCAATTCGCATTTTGGCCTTCTTCATGAATTGTAGAATACTGCTTGAGCACGCCTCCTTGCAATATCAAGGCTAGCCAGGCTGGGGACGTTCGTTATTGATCACCGGAGAGTGTTGTGTGGGATCAACCCCGCGTCTAATCGCGACGGGGATCACAGTCAGTTGGCCAGGGCCTCAGAAAAAAAAACTGAAATCTGAAACATTACATGTACATATTGATAGCCCTCGAGATTTTCGAGAAATCTCACTGAGCATGACGTAAGCCTAACAAAAGAATTTATCTAGAAATGCTGGGTGGTATGCAAAACATTCGACATAAAGCGGGAGTCGAACCCGCGCATTTCACTCGCTACCAGTGGGGACGCGTGCTACCACTGCACTACCGAGTCAACCGTCGTTCTACTCCCGTACTTCTCCGATATGTCCTATCGTAGCTTTCACCAACCAACCACTAATGGTTTTGGCCTCCGATGGGGTTGTTAATAGCTGGGTAGAATACAACAAAGAAGGAGTAGATAGCAAAGCGGTGGGGACGTCGGCCGTCTTCATGGGTGAAACTCGAAGGTTCGACTTCTGACTGGGGTCAAATTTTTGCGTGCCACTCGATACTCCCAGATGTCTATCGAGAAGTTATAAAACGGATAAAAAGCATCAAAAATAAAGAGGTTTCATTGAGCATTGTAAAAGGTAGTTCATATGTAAACATGCGAGGCAGCAGGGTTATTTGTCGACTCGACGCTCACTTGTGACGTAAATCTATCACATAAGACACCTCGATGGTAGTGAATCGCTTAGTATCCAATGTATTCCCACAAAAAGCAATGGTTTTCATCATTCCAAGCGGCAAATCGCTAAGAGCACACTTGTCAAGTAGAAATGAAGAAAAAAGAAAAAAAAAAGAAAAAGGAAAAAATCTCCGACGACTAAGTGAACATCTCCGAAGAACTTTTCAAATAATGCGTGCCATTATGATTGCGCGTCGCCACGCAACCAGATGCACCTTCAAATAAGAGAACTTAATGATGATGAGAGGGTATGGCCCCCTGGTTGGTGATGGAGACTTTGAGGAATCATGATTCTGGTTAAATGCTCCACTTTCCTTCTGGAGATTTGATAGCTTCTGCCAGTTGGTCTTACTACTCTTACAGGTTTTTTTCTCGAAAATATTAATCTTTCTCACAAGTATTGGAAATGTGACTAAAACTGTATGATTTTGGTATCGTTCAGTTGAGCATTTTCTTGCGAACATTTGCTATACAACTAGCATAAGCTTGCTTTGCGATTAAGATGGAGCTGCCGTGGGAACAAATCCGCTTGCTAGTTATGCACGACTGGCGTGATGAGAAAAATGCTAGTGAATGGCGCTTAAGATCAATAAAGCTTGGAGTGATGGTACGATTACAAAAAGGACGGCTAGGAAATGAATTGCTACGTTCAAAGTTGGAGGAAGAGTCTGGAAGATCATCGCGCTCTTAAGCTGTCCCCTGGAGGCTCCATTAATCTTGAGCGCCGCTTCCTTAGCTTTAACAGCTTCTAGAAATTGAAAGAAATAATGACCAGAGCGATAAGGCTTAGCCATTATCAACTAATCTTTCACTGGATTTCTTGCACTTTGAGCACCTTGCTTAGGCATTCATGACAAATGTGCGCATAGCTCAATTTCCATTTCACTAGCATTTTGCTCGTTGCGAATAGCTTATCCTTCTTCTGATTTTTAACATGGCTATGTCAAGGCAGCAGCAAAGCACGATGAAACCCGTTCGGCGACGATTCCTCTATGTAAGGGGGCTGGGTTCCCACAAAGGGATTAGGTAAGACGAAAGGCACTGTGCAAGTGACGAGGCTGCCAGGGCCGACACACGTGTATTCTACTGCACAACTGTCCAAGAAAGACGTCATGAAAGACTTAAGATATAACGTCAGAATGCTTTAAATTCAAATGGATTCAAAGATGGAGCACTTTTTGAGGGGCAGAAGGTTCCAAAGTGTTCACGAAATTAAGAAACATCTTCAGATTTTCTTCAAATCGAAGATCGCAAGATTTACCACTGCGGAATCTTCACGCTGTCGGATATGTTGCTGAATTGTCTTGGTGTGACAGGAGCCTACTTTGGCTATTAAGTTGTCTTATGTTTGAATTTAATCAGCACAAGTAAATTTTCTACAACTTATTGGTTTCTAACGCTGTTAAACATTGGTCACCGACTACTCACAAAAAAAAGTCATTTGAGTGTATTTTCAAAAACTCTGAACAGTGGCTACAACCAAGAACGATTCTAACAGCGACGAATTGTCTCTGCACAGAAATAACTGAGGTTAAACTCATAGTTTCTTGGTGGTTTTCAATGAAAAAATTTTCGCCCTACAATGGCGAATCTCTTACAATGCTTTGACATAGCCTCTTGAAAACCAGACAAACGATAGATTATGCACAACGAGTAATTTACTAGTGAAATGGCGACTGAGCTATGCGTACACTTGTCATGCATGTCCGAGCAACAATCCCAAATTACACGAAATTATCGAATGATCCATCGATAATAACTAAACGTTATCCCTCAGATTACCATTTCGTTTGATCTCTAAAAGCCACTAACGCTAAACTGTATCACATAAGTCAGATTTCTCTCGATATTTCCTCCCATTTATTGAGGATCAGGAACAAAGACAAGAATGGGAAAACGAATAGTAGCAAGTGCTTCGAAACTGATGTAGTTACATAGCTGAAACACTGCTAGACCACTTTTATATAGCAAGTGATAGAATAAAGTCCGAGCTTTTGTCCCGAACAAACACCGATACTAACGCATACAACACGTATAATGGAACAGTATGGACACTGCATTATAATATCTCTTTAGCACCAAATAACAGAGAACATAAAGATACGCTAAACACTACAATGAAGCAATGACCAGAGATATGGACTATCTTACAAGAAAAACCAAAGAATCAAGCCTATATTATCAAGAGATCGATATATGCGCCTTGAAGCACTACTGCTCAATCCACCATAGACGCCTTTTATTTATTTCGACAAGAATAGACGTCACGAGGAATTACTATGCAACAGTGAGGTATGCGAAAACGACTTGCATGAAATACATAGGATGAAAGAGAAAGTTGTTAATTTTAGATGAATAAGTCACAGGACTATTGTCACAAGGAACCCGCTTTTAAACATGCCTTTCTCAGTATAGCAGTTACAGGGCAATCGCATCACACAAGTACTTTTCCGGTCGGCCGTACTACTCTGTATATGCGCGGTATGAGTTCTTCACCTTGAACCTATTTACATAGGACACGGTACCATGTCAAGGGTACAGCTAATAGTTCCACGACAAAAATTAATTAACTTGAGAAAGAAGAGTAATACTGGCCATTAGGGCATACTCCAGAAAGAAAATAATTCCTCTTGTCGTCTTGGTATTTCTACAGTCAAAGAATCATTTGGAAAAAAAAATGGATAATTACAAAAAATTAAAGATGGCACCGGTATTTACAACACGTAGACCCTGAATGTTAGGCACAAAATTAGGAAATCCATAAATTACAAGCTCGCTTCAAAGTTCATCATTATCTCCATCTGGTTTGTCAAGTTGGCATCCTTCGCTAATTCGCGACGACGTCTCTGCTGAATACACGACAGAATGAAAGTACCCGTTGTTGTGCAAAGAGGATTTTAGAATTCACACCTGTTCCTTAAGAAAAAGCATCACACCCTCGTGCGTTAGAACATGTGGAGCACAGCCATCAAGGGCTACACGCGGTTGAGAATCTCCAGATTCAAGTGGTTGCTGACGATTAAGATTACCATGGCGCTGATCTCTCTGTTCGCCATGGGCACTGCGATGAGAATCGCGATATTTCTCACAATGACTTTCTTTAAGAAAACCATCTTCAATTTTCCTATGACGTCTGTCATAAGTTGTGAAGTCGACATCCTTCGTTACTTCACGCCGACGCCTTTCCTGAATACACAACAGAATAAAAGTACCCCTTGTTGTGTAAAGATGATCTTGAAAATCACACCTGTTCCTTACGAAGAAGCATCGCACCCTCCTGCGCAAGAACATGTGGAGCACCACCATCAGTGGCCACACGCTGTTGAGAATCTTCAGATATAAGTGGTTGTTGACGATTAGGATTTTCATCGCGGATCTCTCTGTTCGCCATGGGCGTTGTGATGAGAATCGGGATATTCCTCACAAAGATTTCTTTAAGAAACCATCATCAATTTTCCTATGACGTCTGTCATAAGTTGTGAAGTCGACATCCTTCGTTATTTCACCCCGACGCTTTTCCTGAATACACAACAGAATAAAAGTACCCGTTGCTGTGTAAAGATGATCTTGAAAATCACACCTGTTCCTTACGAAGAAGCATCGCACCCTCCTGCGCAAGAGCATGTGGAGCACCACCATCAGTGGCCACACGCTGTTGAGAATCTTCAGATTCAAGAGGTTGCTGACTATTACATTTATCATCGCGCTGATCTCTCTGTTCGCCATGGGCGTTGTGATGAGAATCGGGATATTTCTCACAATGATTTTCTTTAAGGTAACCATCATCAATTTTCCTATGACGTCTGTCATAAGTTGTGAAGTCGACATCCTTCGTTACTTCACGCCGACGCCTTTCCTGAATACACAACAGAATAAAAGTACCCGTTGTTGCGTAAAGATGATCTTGAAAATCACACCTGTTCCTTACGAAGAAGCATCGCACCCTCCTGCGCAAGAGCATGTGGAGCACCACCATCAGTGGCTACACGCTGTTGAGAATCTTCAGATTCAAGAGGTTGCTGACTATCACATTTATCATCGCGCTGATCTCTCTGTTCACGATGGGCATTGCAACGAGAATCGGGATACTTCTCACAATGATCTTCTTTACGATGATCATCTGTGATTCTACTACGACGTCTGTCACGTCTTGTCAAGTCGACATCCTTCGTTACTTCACGCCGACGCCTTTCCTGAATACACAACAGAATAAAAGTACTCGTTGTTGTGTAAAGATGATCTTGAAAATCACACCTGTTCCTTACGAAGAAGCATCGCACCCTCCTGCGCAAGAACATGTGGAGCACCACCATCAGTGGCTACACGCTGTTGGGAATCTCAGATTCAAGTGGTTGCTGACGATCACATTTATCATCGCGCTGATCTCTCTGTTCACGATGGGCATTGCGACGAGAATCGGGATACTTCTCACAATGATCTTCTTTAAGGAACGATCATCTGTGTTCTACTACGACGTCTGTCACGTCTTGTCAAGTCGACATCCTTCGTTACTTCACGCCGACGCCTTTCCTGAATACACAACAGAATAAAAGTACTCGTTGTTGTGTAAAGATGATCTTGAAAATCACACCTGTTCCTTACGA